TATAAACTTATTACAAACTTCATTTCTAATTTTTAAGGAAGACGTATGATGGATTTCCAAAAGCTTTATGTTGTCGAGTACACGTTTGTCAACAAACTAAAAATATTTGATGCTCCACAAAATCACATCATCAACAATATCATTAAGTTCTCTTTGAAGCTCAGCTAAAATAGCGCTTGCGTCAATCTTGTGCAGACAAATCCATCTTACACGCACGGAGACGTGTCTCACGCAGCACGGAGGAACATGAACGTCCGTCCGCTCGGTTCGTCGGCGCAGTTAATGGGGATTTACTCCGGTAAATTGCTAGTAGCAATTACCGAATGCCAGCTCGGATAATCCCTTCTTAGTGCGCCTCAAGCTGACCCCTCGTACGATTCAGGCGTCGCTACTTAGTTTACAGGGAGAACTACCCTCCTTGATCGCGCACCCCTTGCGTGTCACGTACACGCGGCCGTATGGTGCACGGTGTTGGTTCGCGTAGATTTCTATTGTTGAAAAACTTACTCGAAACGCGAACAGAGACTTGGCGGTTGAAAGCCGAGTAAAAAAAAACACAAAGTGAGGAGAGAAGAAAGAAGATTGAATCGCAAAGAAAACGAGGAATGACTGAACGACAAAGAACCGTAGTAGGATTATGTTCACCGTGACGTTGTCTGTGACATTCTTTTTAGCACGAACGCTTGGTGAACGGTATTCGGGAAGACGCGGCCTTTAAACATTATTTCTGCATGCTCGAGGAGGTCGTCGCGATATCCGGCTGTTAAAGGGATCGCGCAGTGGATTCACGTGTGATATCACAATCGCGGGTGACGCGAGAGACTCACGAGCAAAGACACGAATCTCGGTGGGGAAACGGCTCGACGTCTCCGGAAATAAGCCCTCAAAGTTTGCCCCGGGCAACCCGCTGTCTGTCTAAACCGTAAGCTGAATTCCCACCCCGATATTTCGTGGATGTGCTTAATCGCACGGGGGTCGGTCGGCGCGGCGTGTTGCTTACCCTCTTTGCACGATGACTTTCAATTTTCGGAAAGACTGCCAGCGTACGGCAAACGCGGCAACGCGACGTTTCGCGGCAAGATCACCACGGAGACCTACTCGGCAACGCGAAAGCAAGCTCAAAGCAGAAGACCGTACCCGGTGTATTTCCGAGCTGTGCAAAGCCCCCACGGAGAAGCAGGTAATAAACGATGCACTGTGCACAGCTTAAGCGGAGCTTTATGAAATCCCAGCCATGATTAATAATTCCCCCTCCTCATTCTCGACTCGCGGCCCCATCCACGTGCTCATCCCTCGTCTCCGTAGCTCGTTAGGCACACATACTCATCCCCTTAGACCCGCGAACTAGTTAGATAACGCTTCAAAGATTCTCACATAGTAACGTTCTTTCGCCGCGAGGTCTCTTTGCCAATGCATATTTGTCTTACGTTATATATTATCTATATCATCCTCTGCTCTCACTTCTAAGTACGTCCATTGTTTCGCGATAATCATGTCAGTAAGGCTCTCCTTTGTCAGCAATAGAAGGGAGGCAGTAATGAAGAAGCATTATTGGCACAAGAAATTATGTAATGTACGCTTGGATAATATAATATGTCTCTTCGAACAATTACCTCAACAAATGCGATGCGCAATTCTTGCTTATAGCTAGAGAATTCTATAATGTAAATTATGAGTAACTAATATAAAAAAATATTTCACCATTTTTGCACATTAAAAATTCTTTGCAAGTGACAAGTAGATTCGACAATAAAATTCACATTTCTATAAGCAGGAATAATCCTATTGTAACTCGGAGTACTGGTTTAAAAACACACGCGGGAGATACGAAGATGTGCAAGAGTGCCTGATTAGTATGACAAAGGACGGTGCCCCTCATTAGTGCAGTCCTCCGTGCGTAAAACGAGATTATCTTCGTTTGTTCGCGCATAAAGACCATGTTCGACGACTATCGTGCATTAGAAAGACGATACGAGCGTACGCGGGCGCATGTATGGTGCAGCAATAACACAGCGAAGAGTGTACACATGTACCGCTGTATGCGTGTGCCACCTTTTAAACCGGGGCACAACGCTATGGTCGCAGGGCAATATTTCCCTCCACACTCCATTATAATCCAAATCGATAACGCTAACTATTATAAAAACGGACGTGTCTATCCATTGGACTTCCATCGCACTCGCAGTATTAACGTATACATTGTACAGCTGTCAGTCGCAATGTCGCAACGTCAATTAATTTTTTACACGTATTATTTATTCCAATTATATTAATATGCCTAGGAAGCAACGCGAGTCATTTTTCTAATATCAATTTTAACATTGTCAAATTAGCCTAATCAACAAACTAAATAATTTTTTTTAATTTTTTTTTTATAGCTATATAATATTAAATAAAACAAATACGAAGAACATATTGCTTTCAATGTGCCTCACTTTGACTGTAACAAGATAAAAAAAACAGACATTTAATGATTGTATCCTTGTATAAGGCGTTCAAGGGTAACAGTAAAAACATTTCATATTTGCGTTGGAAACGGTCCACTCAAGTCCTTGTTAAACTTTTGTGTTGAACGTTTTAACATATGTGAATTCGAATGTTAATTTAACATAACATGATCATGTTATTTAAATAAGTAGTATTAAGTTAATATTCAACATTTCTTAGTGTCAAAATAACACAATTTATAAGTCAGTGAACAAATAACATAAAATAATGTGTTTTAATATATAAATTCTAAGATGAAATAAAATTATGTGTTAATTTAACATATCATAAATAAATGTTAATTTTATTTTAAAAAACATGTTTCCATGGTTTGTTTGTAATCTGTGTTTATAATCAGTGTTTATTACTTTTTCATCTTCTTAAATAATATTTATATTAGCTTCTAACATATTCCTTTTGTGTTAAAATAATACATAAATTTGAACATGTGAAATGTGTTAAATTTAACAAATTAATAAATAAATTTTCCAATAATGTAGAAATCTTCATGGTGCTTAGAACTTTCTCTTTATATCTCTTTGGCACTCATCTATTAATTTTCAACTTGCTCGAGCGCGCGTGCTTGGATATTCGAACTATCAACCACAAACAAAACATCGGCTGGCTCGTATCGAACGCTGATTCGCATCTGCATCTGACTGTGTAGAAAAAGGGACTCTGCCAACTGACGGTTGCAAGCCAGATCTGACACCGAACTTTCGAGCGAACGCGACATGACTACCTCTCTTGTTTCTCTCTTCGTCCTGTTGTTGAGGTTGACATTATGCTCTGTGACACGAGCCTGTTCATAGCAGGCAGCAGTGTCAGTATTGACAACGACTACAGCAACGAGTATGATGTTTAATCAATTATATTGTACGTTATTAAGCGGAATCCGTTATTACAACATTATTACAACAAGTTAATAAAGGTATATTATAAAATACATTGCAAATATCACATACTTTAAGATCGTAACGCCTCCATAAAATCCTATCCTGCATATAATTCCAGGGGAATATACATACATTCCTCTATATTTCGTAATAACAATGCGTCTACTTCAAGTAGCCATAAAGTAATCTTAAGAAAATATTTCATTATATATATCTTCCATAAATTGTTAAACTTTTAATCTATAACTTTAAGTAGATTTATCGAATTCTCTCCAATAGAGAGAATTCGAGACAGAATCGCGTGGATAAGAGTCTTCCAAGCTCTTATTATCAACATAACTCCTCGAAGCAATTTTACATGAGTTTCGGGAGCGTTGACTTCGAGGTGAAACGCGAAAATTGAAACAGAATTCGTAGGCGACGATGAAATATGCGAGTCCCCGCGGCTTCTGCCAAATGGAACTTCGTAACTTTCTCGACTATCGGTTAGAATCAGAGAACGTAGGCGAGGAGTAACTGGCAATAAGGATCGGTCCTGAGGACCGACATAGTGTCGTCGGGAACATCGTTCTTTCTTATCCTCGATGTCACTGCACTGGAAGAGTCGCAATCGCTGAAGATATATAGACGAGAAGATGGGGAAACACAGAGGAAAAGGAAAGCGAAGAAGCGCGGCGGGATGTCGTAAAGAAGACGCACGGCGGATGAAACTGATTTCAAAGAACGAAGTGATTTCCGACGTAGTTCGTATCGCTTCTATCACGCGGATTTTTTACTGCATTGCCGTTGCAAGACGGCAGGTATTTTAATTTTACAAAGATGGAGAGAAGATAAAGATGGAGGTATATCGAGCTAAATTATCCACTGACAAGATGAATCATGAAAAATCTTAGGCAGCGATATCAGACGCACGATTGCGTTTTAATTAAAATGAGGATCATGGTGGGCTTAAGATATTTCTTTCATACTTCAACGATCCGTGCTTAAATCCACGAAACGTGTCGGCGATCCCTGCAGTCCCACCGCCAACTCTTTCTCCTTTATCCGCTCTTTCTTTTTTTCCGCTTTTTCACCCTTCCGTCTTGTCTCTCATCCTATTTCCGGCCCTCACCCACGAGGATTCAGTCCTTTACAACCTGATTCTTCAATCTCGCGCAGTAGTAAAAGCTACAGATTTTACGAGCCGCCTAGGCTACGCGTATCTATACGTTGCGCGTGCACACAAAGACACGTAGAAGACGAAAGTATGTCGACTTCACGATCTCCGTTACTCGTCTGACAGCGTTTTATCCGAACGGAAAAATTTCCCTCTCGTACAAAGAAGCCGACGAGAAGTCGCGCGGCAAGATTGCCCACTTCTTGCAGAACGTGCATATTGAAAAGCGCTACTACGATAGTCAATCGTATATCTCGAACCTATCTCGAACAAATTCGAGCGCATTTACAGGACAACCCATCTTACAAAATTCTCAGAGTCAGGAGATAGACTGATCGCAAAAATATATTCTTTTTTGTATAACAGTATATAAGTTCAATAAAGATCCGCCGCACTACGCAGGAAGAAGTTTCGAGTATTGATCCAATGAAGCGGAATTCTTTTAACAGGTATTCCCAGCATCATACGATCTTCGAAGTTAGCTTGGCCGGCGGTATAAAACCGCGACAACGTAGGTATATCTTGGTAGGTATATCCTGGGCTCTTAGTGAATTCTCGATGGAGCACACTTTCCAATCTGGCGTGGAGGGAGTACGGAATCGGAGGCAGAGAAAGACGGCGATGGAGGAGTCCCTATATAACGCGGGCCAGATTGAAGGAAACGGTACGAGTGGGCGAGAGCGTAACGGGGGAATACGATTGTCGGGCCAGCGTTCCGGAAGAAAAGTACCTTACAAAAGAGTAGCCGGAAGGTGGGGGTCTAGCTTCCAAGCCCGTGAGCCGCGACAGTGTGACCGTGTCGAGAAAAGAAGCCGTTAGCTCTATATCGTAACGAGATAGAACCAATGCTAAAGAAAGAGTCTCATCCATGAACGAGGAAGATGCTTGAACGCCAAGTAGACCGAGAGAGGATCGCCTATAAATGAAAAACACATGTAGATATCTCGTGCTGGTCACACTCATACGTTTCCTCCCTTGGCGAACAAATACGTCTTTCATTCGCTTCTTTCTCTTCCTATTTCTTTCTATTCTTCTTCCTTGCGCATCTCCGTTCTATCTACCTACGGCTCTCGACCCTCTCGAACGGGTGCGCCGGACCCTTTTGTATTCACGACACATATCACTTAAGGATCAGGCGGCCCTCGCCCAAATAGATCCGTTTCACGAAATAACACAAGCTACCACGGACACCCGTCAACGGGTGCGCATACCAATGTGACAGGCACGCTTAAACGATCAGAAGCTGTCAACGAGCAGGCAATGGGAAAACTTTGCTGACATTTTTTTTCGACATCTATTGAATCGAGAATTCAACAAATCCAACGCAGATAAGGAGCTTATTTCCTCTTTTCGACTTTGCGACAAATCGAGATCGAAAGTAATAACTTTCTTATTGAATCCCCCTTCCTACGACAGAGAATATTTTTAAATCTTGCAAAATTTGATGGGTACTTCCAGTAATAATAATACGCTAATTCAAAAATAGATTTATGCAAAGAATGTAGAACGAATGGCAGCGAAACCAGAGTTCTCCACAACGAGATGAAACCAAAAAGCTGCGTACCATAATTAATGAAAACGAATGCATGCGACGTGCGAGAGTAATGCGTAAAAATGTAGCGAGAAATAATCAACGCGTGCAATTCGGCGACATAATTAACAATACAACAGCGGACTGACGGCCGTATACACAGCGCGTGCGACGGAAACTCTTCGAGTGTTGATAGAGACAGACGGCAGTAGATACAGTCGACGGCGAGTCAGGTCGAGCCACGGCGCGGCGCGCTAATCCGGCGCAAAGTCCGCGGGGGATAAAAAGGCAGACGGGGCGCGCGCTCATGACAAATAAGCTCTGATTTAATTTTCACTCGACCGGGTTTCGCGCGAGCGAGCGGCGCCCGGTGTGCTTGGGACCGTCGACGCAGATTAGCCTTAATGTCGCTGCGGTGACTGCGGTGGAAGAAAAGAGAAGGTGAGAGATAGAGAATAGAACGAATGTGCGAGCGAGAGAGAAGGAGAAAGAGAAAGAGAGAGAGAGAGAGAGAGAAAGAGAGAGAGAAAAACAATAAGATAAAGGAGAGACAGAAAACGAGACGGAAGAGGAGAGGGCGAGCATAGTTATTAATTAATCCCGACCCTCCTCTTCCTTCTCCTCCTTCATGGCCGCGCCGGCAGAGCAGCCGCAAAATAAAGCTCCCAGCATAAAGAGCTTTACTTCCTGCGGGCATGAAACAATTATCGCCATCCACCCGCGGGTACAAAGAAGAAGCAGAAGAAGGAAAGAACGAGGAAGGGAAAGAGAGAAAAAGACTGATAGGCGGCCGTGATTATACACGAGGTCCGGCTTCACAACGATCAAAGGGATCTGTCAGTGTGATCGTCGCTAATCGCGAGCCTTTATATAATGGCTGCTGCACATTACAGAGAACGCGATACTCATCGAATCAGCCTCGAAGAGTTTGAGAGAAATTAAAAAGTAATCGTACGTAATAATCGGATAATGGGTGATCCGTAGATAAAATTGAGTACATAAATTACGGATATAGCCTATGCAAACGAGGGCTTGAATGCGAATCGTATGAGTTTAGCGAAGTTAGCGTTACTTGATTGGTAATGTAGTTACAAAACTTCTGCGTACCTCGATCGAAACTTGAATCCGCCTCAACGTCCCAACTAAGTGTCATAAATTATGTGTAATTATATCTGATAGCATAATGTTGAACTAATACTTCTGTAGGGACGATGAATCATACATCATACTATGTTTTCATGCACATCCTGATTTAATTGATTATTATTCAAAAAATATATTCTTCAATAAAACACAACATATTATTCTCAGGAAATTAAAAACAGCCAATTACTTTAAAAAAACTTAATGCAAAACTCGAAAAAATATAAATTCTTGAATAAATTTTATCTTTTTAATAAAATTTTTTAATAAAAAATAAAAATAAGTTTTATTTTCCCTATATTTTGTTTCATTTGTCAAATAAGAACATTCTCATTATTCTTATAATTATATTAAATTATATTGTAC